AGTTTGCTTCATTCAATATCTAAAAATTTGGGCCCAACTGTGGTCATAAGTGGAAGACTACTTGTATAGCTCAGTGATAGAATATCTGCATTTCTTGAAGATTGTTCCATTTCTTTGTATCTTTAGCTAGGAGGGGAAATATTCAATTTTAAACTAAGGAACATTATTACTAATAAGCATGCATAGTATTAAACTAAATAAGCCAATGATGTAAGCATAGGGCAGTTTCCCTGGTTCCCACCATGAATACTCTAATTTTCTTTTAAAACCATATAAGCATATAGGTTATCTGACATTATTATACATATCCTAAAATTATCTATTATGTAAAGTCATTTCTAATTAGTAAGTTCCCCTGTCTCATTTAACATTCTAAAGATATAACAATTTGTTTACAAAGAGAACATACAAGCCCTGGTGGCGCAGTGGTTAGAGTGCAGTACTGCAGGCTACTTCTGCTGACTGACTGCAGTTCGGCAGTTCAAATCTCAGCAGGCTCAAGGTTGACTCAGCCTTCCGTCCTCTGAGGTAGGTAAAATGAGGACCCAAATTGTTGGGGCAATATGCTGACCGTGTAAACTGCTTAGAGAGAGCTATAAAGCACTGTAAAGCAGTATATAAGTGCTATTTGAAATTTGTCCCAATTCTGTTCCCAAAAATTTTACTAGCAAATTTAATGTGGATGAAATAAAAACAATTATTATCTTTTTGTGCCTTTTCTTCCCTGGATGCTGTATTTTAAATAGTTAACACTGGGTGTAGGTTGGAAACTTTTCTTTGTGCATCTATGATTAACACAGCAATTGGTTGTAGTGCAATGCTCAACTTTTTCTTGATGACAAGAAAAAAAATGTCAGGATGATTGCCCCTTTCTTAGAATGCCCTGCCTTTCTCTAAGTGGCCTATGCCCCTCCTGAGGAACCACATTTTGAAAACCACTGATTTAATTAGCTTAGCTACAGATTTCATTTTTCATGAAAATTACTGTGTATAGTGGTATAAACATTTAATTTTGTTTTGAAACATAGGAGCTTTTAATCATAATCCACAAGTTAATTATAATTCTAAAGGAACTTCTGATGATACACGCCAAAAGTGTACAAGCAGAAGTTTATTTTCTCTGAAGCAGAAGAAAAGTGGCTATGGAGAAATACAAATTCATAATATTGGTGTATTGGAAGATGCCTGAGCTGGAACCAATCTTCTGGCAGCATCCTAAGCAATACAAAACTGTTTAAAAGAGAAAATGATTAAAATATAAAATGCTTGCAAAATAGAAAAGATGTATAACATACAAAAAATGCAAAAAGAGAAGAGAACGATGGATCAGTTGATTTCATTTATATCCTGAATTTATGGTCAGTTCATGCCTAATACTAAATCATAATACAGTTTGTTTAATTTTAAATTAATACTAAGACATGCATTAGGTCTTAGATTTCATGCAAACCAGTCTTCTGTGGCTTGTTTAGAAATTATTATTTAAAAACAATCATTGGCAACCTCAGTTAACTTTGTCTTATGTTATTTGGATTCTAGGAGGTTCCAGACCAGATTTTGAAAAGCAAATGAAATATAGAACAAACCTTTGAAGTAGTGCACAAATGTTCATAAATCAGACTTTTGCCATTGTTCCCAAACTTTTCAGTTCATGTTGTCCTTAATGTGACAAAGATATAGCATCACTAATGTTCATTGCAAAACCCAGCTTTCCAAATGAACATCACAAAAATGTAAAATATCCCGTGGTGGTTTTGTGAGATTGCTGCAGTACTCCAAGGTATTGTGATACAGAATTTGGATAATGTGGTTATATTCCATGTATGGTATCACAGACATTATCTGGATTTTTAAAAAAGTTTGCTATCATTAATATTGCTACATCTCTCTATTTAAGTTTTGCAACACTAGTGAATGCAGCTTTCAGAGGACTTATATTAAAAAACCCCATAGCCATTAGTCATTTTGGTAGATAAGATTTAAATGACTGCTGGCATAATAAAAAGGGAAATACCTAACATTATTATACAAGCCTGAAATACAAAACGAGTAGTCATAGCTGTGGATCAGGAGGTGGAGGGTGGAATCCAAATACATAATGTTATATGTTATGTAACAGGAGGCTAATAATTGTGTTTTTGGGGTTGAAACTTTTTATTTAATGTGGTACATATGATACTACAGTACTACAGATTATGAGTTATCTACAGGTTCATCTTTGGATTGACTTTGAAATTCACAGCTGAAATATCTGGAGTAATTTTGAATTCCTTTTCCCTTATTCCATTTTTTCTGGTAATTTTTTGTCTGATAAAATAAGTAAATATCAACCTTACTTTGGTTAAGATAACCTTTATTGTCATTTTTTAAAGCTGTGAGCACATTGGCTCACATTAAAAATGAAATTTTATTGCCTGCTCTCAAAAGAAAACATGTATGTACTCATACACATACATGGTACATATGCTACACACACATACGTGTGTGTGTGTATAAATATTCATCACTGTCCATTTTGAATACATAGCAGAAAGAGGAAACTTGAGAGTTCATAAGGTTGATGCTGTGTGGAACAAAACTCTGAATGGGTTTTGTTTGAAGAAGTTGAAACTTTCATACTTATGTACGATATTGGGATTGGTCCTAATAATAAACCAAATTATGGATTTTGAAAATTACTCAAGTGTGTGTGTGTGTGTGTGTGTGTAAATAAGCAAAAATAAATGCTTTTTTCCCATTCATCTATTTAAATGAAAGAAAAAATATATGGTGGCTGGCAGGCTGACTGACTGATTATATGTCATTAAGTCAATGCTAACTCTTACTAGCACCTAGATAGATTTTCTCCATGACAATCATTTCCTAACTTATCTTTCGGGTTACTATTCAATCTATCAATCAATTATTAAATTATACTAATAAACCATACCATATAATATAACACAATAATCCGTATAATATTATATAGTATGGTATAGTAGTATAATATAATAATATTTATTTATTGTGTGTTATCAAAATAGTGTTGATTCTTAGCAACCGCATAGATTTTCTCCGTGACAATCTGCTGGTCCTTCAGATCTTTCAGTAGCACACCCACTGCTGCAATAACTCAGTCCCTCTACTTTGCTGCCTAGTTGTCTTCTTGTTCTCTTTCCTTCTACCTTTCCCAGTACAGTACTGTATTAGAACCTCCTCCATAGAGCTAGCTCTCTTCATAACATGTCTCAGCTGGGGCAATTTGAGCTTGGTTATTTGTATCTCAAGTGAGAACTCTGGCTTGATTTGTTTGATGATCCATTCCTTTGTTTTCTTGCTATCCGTGCTCTGGATTCCTCTCCAACACCACAATTCACAAGCATCAATATCAGTACCGGTATTATCCTGCTTTTTCAAAGTCCAGATTCTACTTCCATAGCGTATCACTGGGAATACCATTGCTTGCATTGTTCTGATCTTTATAGGTATAAATATATCACAGAATCTGAATATACTTTTTAAGATTGTCATGGTTAATCTGTCAATGTAGTTTAGCAATATAATAATATAATATGGCTTAATCTATTTTATAATTCTTATCATGTAATATTTTGTTCTTAAATTAAAGGAATGGATCAGAGGGATTACATTTAAGCATGGGAAACTGTGTAATCCAAATCCAAATCAGATAATTGATTCATCAAAGCAACAACTAAAATCTTAGAAAACTTTCCCACTCCTCCTTGCTAGAAATAACAGAGAATGGAGCCAAGTTAGTATGGCAACTTACTTTGCAAGGTTTAATAGTTGGATTATGACTAGCAAAATGTACTGCAAATCAATCTTCAGCCACAGAAACTTATTGGGTATATTGGAATACTCACTCTTAGATCAGTCTACCTCATAAGAATATTGGTGTATGGAAACATTTGAGAAGGAAATGCTATTTACTCAGCCATGAAATACAGGAAGAAATATAGAAATAATGCTTGACACCAGGAATGTTAATAGAAATATACTGCTAGTATAATATACCATATATTTTAGGTGCATACAGTAGACATAAATTAAATGTCATTGCCATGAATTTGGCAGATGTCAAATTACTGCTAGCAGGCATGTCATGATATTCTTATGTAGAAAATACTGTTTTCCAAAGTCAAATCAGCTGTTAAAAAACACTTAGCTTAACTGGACAATAAGAAATGATTTTACAGTGCTGCATGAACTGTATTTCTATATCATTTTACCATGACAGTTTGTGACAATATGATGGAGGAAGTAATTGTTGCCCAATACTAGTCTAAGTGACCACTGAAAATCTGGCAGTTTTTCAGTTTTGAGCACCATTATGTACTGTAAAAACAATAGACTAAAACAGAGTTATGTTCAATTATAGAATCACATGTCTTTCCAATGTACCGTATTTATCGGGGTATAACACGCACTTTTTCCCCCCTGAAAATAGGGGGCAAATGATGTATGCGTGTTATACGCCGATATAATGTTAAGAAGCCAGCGGAGGCCGGGCGGTGCGAGCGGAGGGCAAGCGGAGGCCGGGCGG